ATATATATATAGGGGTTGGTTCAAATATTAACCAAGATTTTTGTGTTAACTTTGTTAACCAAGTTCAACCAATCATATTTCATCTTTTCTTTAGGTTACATATAACTCATATATTAATAACAAGGGTAATTAAGTAATTTGTCATTTATGTAACTCCCAAATCATTAATTGGGAATTACAAATCTAAAAATCTCAATAATTGATGATTATGTAATATTGATATTTTTGTTATACGTGTTCATGTTTTGTAATTTCGATTTATTCTATTCATAACGATATTGATTTTGTATTTGTTAAAGAATTTCCGATTGTAAAGATTTCGATATCGTCCGAGTAATATGGATAAACTTATTGGAAAACAGATCGATAATGATGAGAATGAAAATGTTAAAATCGTCTACGACTACAATCGGAATTATATGTAATTGTTAAAAAATTGTTCACAAGTGTTCATATGTACACTAGCTGCATATTTCAACWTTGGCTTGCTCCTGAATGTGTTCATAATGAAGAAACTATTGTTCACAAACTGTTCATATTGTGTCCATATGTACACTAGCTGCATATCTCAACTTTGGCTTGCTCCTGAATGTGTTCATAATGAAAGAACTATTGTTCACAAACTGTTCATATTGTGTTCATATGTACACTAGTTACATATCTCAACATTGATTTGCTTCCGAATGTGTTCATAAGGAAAAAACTATTGTTCACAAATTGTTTATATTGTGTTCATACTTGTTTCTTTATTTATTTGCTTTCGTGTAACAACTATTCTTATTATATTCATATTGTGTTCATAAATGCTATACAGTCAAGTTCATATATATGTCAATTTTTGTTCGTATTTGACACAATGATTCATATATATATATATATTATATATATATATATGTGTGTGTGTGTGTGTGTGTGTGTGTTCATATGGTTTTTAAATTAACAAAAATAAATTAATAAAAATAATAAGATTTTTTGATTTTGTAACTCCCAATTAATGATATGGGAGTTACATAAAAAGGAAAATTACCTAAATATCATTTTCCCCTTTGTTCACATATGTTCTTTGAAATTGTAAAATTAAAAATTAATTTTTTATCATGATTAATCACAACCCTTTATTGTAAGAATCAAT